AGGTGGAGACCGCGGGACTGTGGCACCCGCAGACCAATGGGGGGGGTGGGGCTTCTTGCCTCCCCCCCGCCAGAGAGGGCGCTCCGTCAATGACATCTTGACGGAGCCGGCGCTGGGGAGGTACCGGTAGTGTTCGCAAGAGATCCCGGTGCCTCCCCGCACAGCGCCGAGCCCGACCACCGTGAGGTTTTAGTGGGTATTCCTCCTGGGCATCCAGCCCAGGGGGCGAGTCCCACACTACCCCCGCCCCTCCCCCCCTTGGGGGTGGAGCGGGGGTGTGCGTAACGCATTTCCTCACGATAAGAAAAAAAAAAAAAAAAAGTTACAAGCTTTCGAGGTTGAAGATATAGTTGTTGAACAAACACAAATAGAATCTCATGTTAACGCCTTCGGTATCACCGGATTCCGGTACGAAACTCTACTCTGCGCTATTACACGGTCTCCGACCGCTCGAGATGTTTATTACGAAATTTACAGAGGCGCGGTCGGACGGTACTACGATACCGCCGATAACATAATGAGATACAATGACTTGAGCGGCAGTCGCGTAGCTTCTGCGTCCTGGAGGAAAGCTGCTCGGAATTTTCGATATTACTATTCCCGAGGAACCGCCGTGGCTCTCCCGCGCGCGCTAGCGAGATACGACATTAATCCTCCGATCGCGACATAATCGGGCAAACGAGATCTAGATTGCCGTACGAGAACAGAAGAGAGGGCTCACTTACATATGGCGATATTCCTCCGGGCGGTCTCGCTCCCTTCCGCGGTCCTGCACTCGCAATATCTTACACTACTCTACGCTTTAACGCGGGCCACTCAAGTGACGATTTCGGGGCTCGTTACGCGACGCGAGGATCTAGCGGGCCCCCCACTAAGCAGTCCTATTGCCCCTCGTACCCCCCCCCCCCCCCGTGACTCCTGTGGAGCCGTGCTCCTTCGGACCAGGGACGACACGCCAAGGAAGGATCCCCTGGCCACGGAGATTGCTTCCCTTGTGTGAGGAGCCCAGTCTGACACCCTCCTACGTGGTTACTGCGACTCCTCACGGATTTCCTGCCCTCTGACTCCTCCATCGTGGGGTCCTTCTGCGGAGGAAGACGTCCGGGTCGCCGATCCTTATCCGGTGGGTGGTTTCCTGGTGCCCCCTGGGCCGACCAAGCGCCTCTCGAAGCCCAGGCTCCATGCGAGGGCAGGCCCTTTTTCCTCCTGTACTATCCCCCCGGGATAGGACCCTTATCCGGTCGAGCGGCCGCTCGACGGGATTCCGGGGCGGTCCCTGCAGCAGAGTCGGTGGGTACGGGCGATATTGCGTCTTTGGCCCTGCCTTGACCCCTATCGTGACGGCCCTGCAATCGCGAGCGGTACTCGGCGCGAGATAACCACGTGGTTAATACAGATTCTAACGGCATTATTCCCCTACAAATCCTCCAGGAGCGCTTCGATATTATTTCGTGCAGGCAGGGAGCGGCGTAGGGGCGGTCCGGTTGTCGGTTCTTCCGCGCCCGAGTCAAACTTCGGGCGGGAAGGGGCACGGCGCAAAATGCGTCGTAACAATATACAAGACAATTATTATTCAGGATGATAAAATAAACGAAAATATGTTTCTCTGTAAACAAAGAAACAACAATTAAAGTTTACTATTATCACTTCTCTGCCTACAGTACTAATTTTGTTTATAACTTTTAATCTTTGTATTTTGCACGTATGCTCTATTGCGTAATAACTATATCTCTCTCCTCAATTCTTCTGCCAATCGTCGCTCCATCTATCGGTGATTAAAATAAAAGACGCGCGGAGCATGAGAAGCGCAGCAAATTCAAAACTAAAGAAGGTATACTTTCTTTACATCTTCTCCCCCCCCCCCCCCCCGCCAGGATGAAAATTCTTGCAATTATCAGTCTTCGTCTCCGTCTTCTGATGTTGGAAGTAATTTTGTTATGTGGAAGAATCCAGTTTCTTGTTTTCGTTTTCCTGTTTTTATTTTGTATAATGAATCTGATATCTTTTCTATTATTTCGAAAGGTCCAATTCTCAATTCGTCTAATTTCTTTCTGATCAATCTATTGCCATTTTCTATATATACTAGATCTCCTGTGTTAAACCGGTGATTCTTTCTATTCTTGTTAAGTATCTTTTTGTTATATTCGTGTGATTTTCTTGTTCTTTCTAGAGCTAGTTCTTTATCTCTTATCCAGTTTTCTTTATTGTTTCTTCCTTTTATTTCTTCAGGTAAAATGCTGGTACCTGTGCCATCTAATAAATACTTAGGCATAAAGCCAGTTACCGTATGCTCTGTTTTATTGTATTATATACATTCTCCAGTGATCGTTGTCCAAGCTCTTTTTTCTTCCTTCTCATTTATTTTACATCTTATCTTGTTGAGTGGAGTCTGATTCAGTCTCTCATTCAGACCGTTGGGGAAGGGCGCATTGACGGCCGTAAAAATTAGTCTAACGTCATTTTCTACCAGGAATTTCTTAAATTCTCTTGAGTTTATTCCCGGATATTGATCTGCAAGTATTACTCCAGTTTAGTCTGTTTCTAGCACCTTATTTACCAACTTGATGAAGTCCGTTGCACTCTGAGTTTTTGACGTTACAATGAACGCGTGTCTTGTAAAATGGTCCACCAGCAGGTGGAGGTATCTTTTTGTTGATCTTTGTCCTCCGAAGCCTTCAATGGTGTCTATTGACAATATTTCGAATGGTTTTGTTGCTGGTCCCAATTGTGACATTACCCCATATTTTCCTTGCCCTCTGGATTTGTTCTTAATACATATTTCACCGTTTTGACACACTTTTTTTATATTTGCAGTTATACTCTTAGCTGTATAATAAGGGCATACTCTATTCATCATTTGTTTAATCCCTATATGGCACCATTCAGAGTGTATTTCTTTAATTAATTCTAAGCTTAACTCTTCAGATAAAATTATCTTTTATTTATTTCTAACTTTTTTATAGAACACTCCATCTTTTTCTATTAATTTTGTTTTGGTATTCTGCAGTGTTCTATTTTCTTTTTGATTTGTTTTTATCTCCTTCATTTTTAATAGATTAACTATTTTTAGCATTTCTTCTGTATTTTCGAGTGGTTCTAGTACTGAATTTCTACTCAAACTATCTGCTTCGACGTTATCTTTTCCCGGAATATATTTAATTTCAAAATCGTATTGTGACAAATAATAAGTCAACTCCCCAAGTTCTTCATCCGTTCTGGCTTTTATGTTCATACCTTCTAATGGTTTATGGTCTGAAAATATCGTGAACTTTCTTCCAATTGGCCAGTGTTGCCAATACTTTACTGCTTCCTTGATTGCCAGGCATTCTAAGTAGATAGATAGATAGATCAGATACTTTATTTCTGCATTTCTGCCAAAAAATGGACTCAGTTTTACATTGTTTTCTTCACTAAATCTCTCACTTTCGTCGCTCATATTCCTCCCTCATACTTCACGCTCCTATTTCTTTTCTCTTCTTACTTTACTATATTTTCCTCTATTACTCTATTTTACTCTTATTATTCTAACTTATATAACAAAATATAAAATTAAATATATATAAAAATATAACACAATAATACATAACATAATGTGACAAGATGTTACATAATACAACATAACATAATACATTTGTTTTACATACTCTATCTTTCTCCCCCCCCCCCTTATATTTATACTTTCTTTGGTTGTCTTTTATTATCCTATATCTGTTATTTGCAGCTCCTTCCTTTTCTTTTCCCATTCTCTACACCATTCCATTACTTCCTCTTTGCTCTCCTCTGCTACTATATCCTGTTCTTTTAGTGCTGTCCTTTTTAACTGTTTGCATTCCCTTATCAGGTGTCTTATAGTTCCTAATCCCTCCTTGCATAGCCTGCACTTCCTATTTTCCTCCTTTTCCCAATATCTATTACTTTCCTCCAGATTTCCACATCGTGCCCTTGCCTTCCGTTTCATCTCCATATTCTTCCCTTCTTTTCTTAAATACTCCGGTAACTGCGTGTGTGGTTCAATTTCCTTATACCTTTCATTGTATTTCGCCCTTTGTATCTTCCCATGTAATGTTTGTCTGTCTACTTCTATCTCTCTTTCCTTCACTTTTTCGCTCATCTTTTCCCCTCTTCTTTTAAGTTCTTCTATTCCTTCCTGACTATATCCACTCTCGTTTAAGCTCCTTATTCTTTGTTTTCCCCATTCCGTTACCATCTGACTTTTAATCTTCTCCTCCAGACATTTCCTGAGTAACGGCTTCCCTTCACTTTCCTCTACTTTTTCCTCAAATCTTATTGCTCTTTCTATTGTTTTAATTTTAAACTTATTTCTCAACGTCTCTTTCCTTACTATGTAATTGGGTGTCCATCTGTCCAGTCCTAAGCACCACTTTACATACCTTATTTGCACCCTTTCCAGCACCTCTCATTCCCTCCAACCCCATGCCTCTACTCCATAAATCATCACACTCTCTACCAATTTTTCGTACAACCACATCCTTATCCCAAAATTATCCCTAAATAGTCTTTCTCCCAAACCCCAAACCTGCCTTACTGCCATCATCGCTTTCTTGGCTAATTTATTTACTTGCTCCTTGTTTTCTCCGCTTTTGATGAAAGTAAAACCCAGATATGTGAAATTTTTAACCTCCTCTAATTTCTTATCCCCCCAATACTATCGTCTATTCTTTTTCCTCCCTGTACCTTCTTCAAACACTATCACTTTTGATTTTTCCGTGCTTAAAGTTAACTGTTTCTCCCTTAAATATCTCCTCAAAATTTTCAACATCTCTTTCAGTGCCTTCTCACTTTTTGCTATCAACACCACATCGTCCGCATATGCTAGACTCCATATCCTGATTCCTCCCACTTCTACTCCTCATATACCTATTTCCTTTAGCCGTTCTTCCATGTCTGAAATATATAATGCAAACAGAGTTAGGCTTAAGGGGCATCCCTGTCGCACCCCCTCTGTTAGCCAAAACTCTTCACTATTTCCCTCTTCTGTATAAACCTCGGCTTTCACTTCCTCATATAACTCTTTCACTCTTTCTATTAAACCTCTTCCCACTCCTCTCCTTTCCATTACTTGCCACAATTTCGCCCTGTTTACCGTGTCAAAAGCTGCCCTTAAATCCATAAAGAAAGCATATATCTTGCCTCCTCTTTTCCCTCTTTCTTTCTGCACTACCTGTTGTAAAATGTAATATTATCTATAGTACTCCTTTTTTTCCTGAAACCTGCCTGTATTTCCGGTAGCATCCCTTTGCTCTCTGCCTCCTCTACCAATCTCTTATTTAATGTTGCAGCGTATAATTTATATATGGAGTTTAAGAGCGTGATGCCTCTATAATTTGTGACCTCTATATTTCCCTTTTTATGTAGTGGGTTTTTACGACGCATTTTTGCGCCGTACCCTCCCGCTCGAAGTTTGACTCGGGCGCGGAAGAACCGAGAAACGGACCGCCCCTCCGCCGCTCCCTGCCTGCACGAAAATAATATCGAAGCGCTCCTGGAGGATTCGTAGGGGAATACTACCGTTAGAATTTGTATTAACCGTGTGTTTATCTCGCGCCGAGTACCGCTCGAGAGGGGTCAAAACGGGGCCAAAGACGCAATATCGCCCGTACCCACCGACTCTGCTACAGGGACCGCCCCGGAATCCCGTCGAGCGGCCGCTCGACCGGATAAGGGTCCTATCCCGGGGGGATAGGACAGGAGGAATCAGGGCCTGCTCTCGCATCGAGCCTGGGCTTCGAGAGGCGCTTGGTCGGCCGAGGGGGCAACGGGAATCTACCCACCGGATGAGGATCGGCGACCCAGACGTCTTCCTCCGTAGAAGGACCCCACGAAGGAGGAGTCAGAGAGCAGGGAACCCGTGAGGAGTCGCAGCAACCACGTAGGAGGGTGTCAGACTGGGCTCCTCACACGAAGGAAGCGATTTCCGTGGCCAGGGGATCCTTCTTTGGCGTGTCGTCCCTGGGCCGAAGGAGCACGGCTCCACAGGAGTCACGGGGGGGGGGTACGAGGGGCGATAAGACGGGATAGTGGGGGGGCCCGCTAGATCCTCGCGACGCGTGTCGAGCCCCGTAATCGTCACTTGAGTGGTTAGCGTTAGCGTGTAAAGTCGTATTTTGAGGTATCGCGTGTGTAAGGACAGCCAGAAGGGAGCGAGCTCGAAGGATTTGAAATCGACTGCTGTAAGTGATCTCTCTCTCCCGTTCTCCCCAGGCAATCTAGATCTCGTTCGCCGGATGATCTCGTGATTAGAGAATGAATATCGTATCTCGCTAGAGCGCGGGAGAACCACGGCGGTTCCTCGGGAAGATTAATATCGTACTTCCGGGCAGCTTTCCTCCAGGGCGTAGAAGTTATGCGACTGCCGCTCAAGTCATTGTACCGTCTTTTGTTATCGGCGGTATCGTAGTACCGTCCGACCGCGCCTATGTAAAATTTCGCATTAAACATCTCGAGCGGTCGGGGACCGCGGAATAACGAAACATAGAATCTCGCACCGGAATCCGGTTGTATCGAAGGCGCGGGCCGCGACGATAGTCGACCGCCGCTGTGTTGTCTTTCCGTTGAGAAACCACCTAATACTGTTGTAACGCGGTCTCGTCCGAGGCCGGCGAAAGAAACCAGAATAAATTGTTATTCGTGTTGTTAACTGCTGTTGAACGCTTACTTTCTATTTATTTTGACCGCGTCGGTCGAGTTAGCCGCGTGGACGTACACTCTCGCGCTTCTTCGCCGCGGCGTCCTTCTAGGGGCACGGGGACCCCCCGCCGTCAACCCCGCATTCCCCCCGGGCCGCGTCGCGCGAGCCATCGGCTACGTTCAGGGAAACGGCTCGAGCCGTTCCCTTCCGCGGAATTCGCCCTATTACGCAGCGCTATTGTTCGAACCGTGTTTCGGCCGCGCGACCGGCCGAAATCGCGATTAACGTAACAGGGTATATTATTCCTTTATTCCACTCCTTTGGCATACCTTCTGTACCATCTCTATAACTTTTCCTTTCACTTTACTTGTACAGTATTTCCATGCCTCGCTGGGAATTTGATCTTCCCCTGTTGCCTTCTTTTCTTTCAATTTTTGAATTTGTTCTTCTATCTCCGCTGTTGTCAGATCCCGTTCATCATCCTCCTCTCTTCTTTTTCTAATTCTACGTTCCGTTTCCCTTTGTTCTTTTCCTCCCAACAAGTTCATGAAATATTCCTTCCATTTTTGGGGGGAATTTCATTGCTTATTCTTGTTCTGTTTTTCTTATATTTATTTATTATCTTCCAAGCCTCCGATTCCGTCTTCACTGCCTTGACTTCTTCTACCACCTATTCTTTCCTTTTTTCTCTCTTCCTTTTGCATACTTCTCTGTGCCTTCTTCTTTCTGCTATATACTCTTCCCTATCTTTTTTCCCACTCCTGAATTTTTTGTAGATTCTTCCCACCTGTCTTTTACTTCTTTCGCATTCTTCGTCAAACCATGCCGCTTCTTCCTTCCTTTTACCTAAATATATCTCCTTTTTTACCATACTATTGTCGATTAGCTTTTTCAATTTTTCCCATATTTTCTTTACTTCACTCTCTTTCATTTCTGCTTCCTCCAGCCGTTTTCTGTACATATCTTTTGCTTCATTATCCCATACCGTGAAGACTCTCTTTTTCCCTTTCTCCTTTTTCTTTATTTCCTCTTCCTCTTGCCAAAGCTCTACTACTAGCGGCATATGGTCGGATTCTGTTCTCTCTCCTACCCTCATTTCTTTTATCCTATCCCATGCGCCTGTGTTTGTAACTACGTAGTCTATTACTGTTGCCCCTCTTCCGCCGATGTGCGTATATTCTCCTTCTTCGCCTCCGGTTTTATTGCCATTTAAAAACTGCCATCCATTTTCCCTTACTATTTCTAACAATTTCTTTCCATACTCATTTATTACTTCATCCTTTGACCTTCTTTCCACTATTTCCCCTTCCCATCCTACATTTCCTCCTTCTCTACCTATTCTGGCGTTTAGATCTCCCGCTATCAGTACGTTACATTCTCCTTCCTGTTCTTCTCCTAACTTTTTTAACAGGTTGAATGCCACGGGGGTCACCGGTGACCGGCACTTAACTTGGCTGTGACGCCATGGGGGCCACCGGTGACCGACGTGCCCGGATTGAAAAAAAAATAAGAAAGGTAGACAAAAGACAACACTTATAATTTCTTATTATTATCATCGTTGATGTAGTGGTCTGAAGAAATGAATGCAGTATAAAACATTTGAAAATAGTTTTATTTATACATTTAATATAGTTTTATTATGCGCGCACGTTACGATGTGTCGTATTAAAACATTCTAAACAAAGGAAGGGTGAACCAGCACAGTCTTTACAATATGTCACGACTTTTTTGGTACAGTTTTTTGCAATTATTCTTCCTAGCTTCTTTGAATTTTTTTGATAACAAATTTTGCAAAATCTTCGCGCCGTTCGAGCTTTTCCCGGCATTGCTTTTAATTCATGTCGTGGTTTTTTCAGCAACCTTTCATGTGGAGAAATGGAAACTTCAGCTTCATGATC